TGTTAATAGTAACTTAACAGATTAAAAATATTTTTATCATATAATAGTTATATAACTATCATATAATAATCATAAATAGCAAAAATTCAAGTTTCTGCTAAGTACGTATAAGATGTATTTATTTTTATTTTCATTATTCAATAGAGGTTAAGATCCAAGTTAGAAAATTAGGAACAACAAATTCTGTTATAATTGATTATAATTTTCGTGATCCCGTTGAGAGAAATAAATTGTATAAATCTGTTATTGATTCTGGCGCGCCGGAGACAATTCTCCCTTATAATGTCCGTTTTATACTTGGAAACAATCCTCACCGTTTTCATGCCACAGGTTACGGATCTCCCTCTCTTGTTTTTGTTGCGACAACAATATTCGAAGTGGCAATTGGTGATAATGATACCTGGAGTAAATGGGTAAGGACAGATACTCTAAGAGTATGGCAAAGAAACCCCGAAATTATATTGATAGTTCCCTTATTGGATGTGATGTGTTAAACCAATTTTTCTTTGTGCATCAGCCGGATCAAGGTTATAAATTCTTAAGGTCTGTCTACAGACGAAGATTCCTTAACCATTTTAATTAATAGTCTTTCTTAATATTTTTATACTTAATATACTGCAATTTATTATTTTCATTAACAATCTTTCCTAATATTCTTAGACTTAATAGAATTTGCAATTTGTTACTTCGCTCAAATTCCAATAATGTAAGCTGCATGACATCAGCTTCTGTTTTAGCATAAATTCCGATGTATTTTTATTTTACTATACCAATAATAAAAAAATGTATTCAATAATCACGAAACCCGCCTTCCAATTTCACCCATTATTACTGTAATTGCTTCCGCAAAAAGTGAGCTACAAAATATATTAAGTGAAGAGGCTCTCCAAAGTAGGTCTAATTAATTGTACACGTCTCTCGTGTCCTTATAATTGCCGATAAATTCTCGCAACATAATTTTTAAGACATACTACCATTAGATATTTTTTTTCGATAATCTTCAATTCGTCTTTGATAAATTATAGCATTTTAGCAGAAACCAGTCGCTTTTAAATTTTTGATATATATTAATAAGCAAAATTCGTTATAATTTTGATTAGCTAAATATGATACGCGTCACGATCTCGAAGTTCAGCACTTTTTCATATGAAGTAATATATAATGTAACAAATATAATAAAGTTTTTTATGATTGGTCATGAAATTCGGTTAAATACGAACGAAATAGAGATTTAAATTATTTCTTGAAGGGTCCTATATATTTTTACACTGAAATGTATTAAGGTTAACAGATGCTAATAGATGAAGTAACAAAAAAAATTACATATGCGTTATATTAATGGATAGCAGCACACCCTTTGTACTACCGGTAGTACACTTTATAAAACTCATAGCAAGCTTAAAAATCAACAAATTAAAAATTTTTTTTTATTTAAAAGACTATTGCATGTTACTTTATAAATTTATTTATTTTTATTTAATATTTATTATAAAATTAAAAAAAATTTATAATGCTAAACACGTAGCATTATCCAGCACTCACAGTGTACTACAGAAATAGACAAATTTATCTGTTGCAACAAGACATAGTATTCTGATTCTAGCTAATATCTGAAATATTCTAGAAAACGCAAAATTCTGTTATGACGACTACCTCGAACTCTGTCAGTTATAATATATATTTTCTAATGTTACGAGGTAAATATTTGATAACTATTGGCCCATTGAAGACAGAAATTGGACTTTCTATTCTAAATAGTGTATTATATATGCTAGCATAATAAAATATTCATTATGATTTTGATATTAAAATTTTTT